CAATCTGCACCTATTATCATTATCGCTCAGCCTCGTTTCCGTGCAGTTTTGAGCAGAGAAAGTGGCATGCTACTCTCTCTTCCTTGCTGCTGGCCCTTTCGCCCACACATAACCAGGACCAGAATCCTACGGAACTAAGGGGCAGTTTGTCTTTAAACGCCAGTCATAGCCTAGAACTGGAAAATTGAGTGGGTAATTCACTCTGAGTATTGATTACCTCGCCACATAACCTGTCTCGCTGCGGTAGTTAAGTTGCCGGTTTTTCTTACTGTAGGGAGGTGCAACGGTAACGTAATTGTCGCAGCAGGGAGGGCGGCATGGGACGAGTCAGACAGTATCTAGGGCCAAGACCTCTTCTCACTTTTTTGTCTCTTGGCCTTATGTCCGTTTGCCTCTACATCTGTAGGGTTATTTTTTCTTCAATCCATTGCTTGACCGACATCTTTTTCAGACACGCGAATTGATTTCGACCTCCGAGGCAGTACATGATGTGGCAGGTGACGATGACGACGATGTGGAGTGCTATTTGGAGCGAATGAGAGAAGACAGTTTGAAAGCGTCTGCTAATCGCTCTCCAAGGCACACTGCCCTCTCACCAAGTAAGCCTAGTATTTGTACAGTAAAATTTCAATACAGTCAGTGTAGATCCCTTTTGCGGGTGCCCAATTTTCCATCTTTTTCGTTTGGAGCGAATTGACTGTCTGAAAGAAGCTCTCTTCAAGTCAGCGCCTTTTCTTTGGATCCAATGCCGCCGAGGTCATGGAAGGTTAGATGACCTGACCGGAAGATTGTTAGGCACCCCGAATGACTGACCTTGACGGATGAAAGGCATGGTTTTTGTGACGGTTGTTAGTCCACAGATCGTCCCTGAAAGCAGCGCCTTCTGTCATTATTTTATGTGCTCTCCCATACGCACGCTGTCGCGCGCATCACACGAGAACCCTATATGGAGGCGAAACTCATCGACGCGCGCAATATATTTACCTTGGACTTTGCACTCTCTTTCCCTTCTTTTTTGGTCTGATTTTGAACTCCCAATCGACGTCGTAACATGCATGTAATTCATGTAAGAGCACATAGTTCTGTTTGATTTCGGTTCTGTTAACATCGTAATAGCTCGAGGAAAGAGTTCAAACACAGGGTTTTTAATACGTGGTAGTATAGGAGGGGGGAGGGGACATTTTGTACTATCATTGCTTCCTTAGTTCCGGTTTACATGTCTCACTCTGGCGAAACCTGTGAACTCTTGTGAAGCTGGAACAAGGTCGTCAAGCCATCATGTTAAAACCTGTCAACTCGAGAAGAGGCTGTCTAGATAGGTCGACACGTCGATGGGAAGTGCAAAATGCCCCCCCCCCGCCGGCATACCGCGCCCGTACATATTTTGCTAAGGGTAAGTATGAGAATCGGCGATGTGAATGAAGAATGCGCGGCCTCTGAAACGTCAAATGGCTAGCGACCGGAGCCGACGCCCATCTACAGTCGTTACCCCAAAAACGATCGGGTGCAGGAAGGTGGCATGGCTTGGAGCGCAGCCAGAGCAGAATTTCACCAATTATGGCGGAGTCGGGATGGCATCA